ATTTCAACATTCATGAAAAAACCAAAGGGAGTCTTAAAGCTTTCTACCTGCCTCTTCCTCCTTGTTCAAAGCACACTAACCTAAAACAAAAGATCTCTGAGAATAGCTACAATGGTGAACACAGCTCTTTTTAAAACCTAAAACTTTGCAGCATTTTGCCTAAAATCCTACTACGTTACGTATTTATTAGCAATATATCTTTCATTTATTTTCTCAAAGATTGCCAATAAAGAACTAAATCACATAAGGGAGTAGCTGTAAACCCTTTGAGTTCCCTAATGTCAAACTCATTAGCATCCGAATAACCACACAGCAGCACATCATCTGCACAATTGCAATTTTTTTACTACTTTTAATAGCGTTTCTCAAAGGGCTCATTTTCAACTTTCTTCAGTGGTTAGTTGGTTCTCTGGGGAGAAGGAGCTTCCTGACGCTCACAGCTTCCACTCAACAACCAGGCCGTTTGCTGTCAGAAGCATCAGCCCTCTGCCCTAACCCCATCTGCTGTCTCTCTCGTCCTAAGGGACCGAGAGTTAAGACAGCACAGCTGAGATCCACTTGGAAAAGTGCACAAAGGACAGGAAAATACACAAAACTTTTTCACATTTAACTTTACATAATGGGCTAATACATTGAAAATCCCCCTTTTAAGACAAGGAGTCCAGGCTGGGTTGGGGCTGGGGGTTAGGTTTTAAAATTGTACTGGAAAACTACACGCGGCAGCGCCTTTTGCTGTTTTACTCCCATCTGCCTTGCATGGGACATCATCAGCTATCTTTGTAAAGCAGGAGTGCTACAGTAGGACAAAAGCAAGACTTTATGTGAAGCACAAAACCTGAATCCCTCTTCTGTGTTTAATTACAACAGAAGTTACTGGTTAGTAAGTTTAAACGTGCCGTTTTCTATTTCTTTTCCCATAACAAAGTGCTGGCTGCCATACAGCTGATTAATGGGTGAGTACTCACCTTTGAAGATAACGGTGGTTCGTAAAAAGTCTAATACAATGCCATGCACCTGTTGTGTTATAAACAGGTGTGTAGGATTATGCTGTGTCATGGGATGTGATGTACTCCTAATGGAATATAAACTATGCATCACCCCCATCCACACTCCAAGAAGCAACGGGGATCTGCCACCTCAGGTAGCAAACAAGAGTTAGTGCCGATTTCACAGAAACGTCAAGATGTTAAACAACAAGTTATTGAGAAACACTTTATTTTAGTATATTTTACGAATTATAAAATTAATCATGGGCCAAATTTGGAGTAATTGCAATAGTGTAGATAAAAGTCTATAATGTCAACTGGAAAAATTAAGAACTCAGCCTCAAGAGTCCATGAGAACACCTATCTAGGTTATTGGCGACTTTGGTGACAATGTTGTTGGTGGAAATCAGGTAGAACTAACTTATTTATTTATCTACCAAGGTGCTTTGGTGTGATCACTCCCCTTAAGTTCACACCTATCTTCATTTTGCCCAATCTATTCATAGCTTGAATTAACTGATTTGTCTATTTTAGTAAGGAATTCAAAAGGATTTACAGATGGCAAATTATGCCTACTTTTCAAATTCCTATATGTCTGGACAGAATTTTTTTAATCCTGAATGTGAAGTTTGCCTGTCTACCAAAAAAAAAAAAAAAAAAAAAAAAATCCACCCTTTTCAACAACACCTCAATCCAACTAGAATAATAAACTTTATAAACCCACAAACATGGAATAAATGTGTTGCTTGACTTGTTAATGTAATAGTTTAGTGAAGTCACCTTGAACCTTTGCAATTCATTCTTTGGTTTATAGCCATTTCCAGTGCAACATGGTTTTGTACTGACTCTGAAGTGCCATCCTACTGAGATCCATGAGTCATACCAGGATACTGATGTGAATCACTGTTTGGGCCCTGAGCCTCAACATCAGATGTGCGTGACAAATCCCTTCAAGCAATTATTCTTATTGACCCATTGTCTATGGGTAAAAGCCCACTCGTTCAGGATTACTAGAGAATTCCTCAGGATTTGATAATGAGAAAATACATATTCTACAGTTAAAAATTATCTCGACAGAAGTCTGAGGATGTTTTCTCTGTCAGAATTGCAGTACACAAGGCTGTACTACATCTGTAAAAAACCTTTACGAACTTTTTTTGTGCATAATGGGTATCATTTCCAACAGATAAATTTGATTTTCTCTCATTTACCACATCACTAGTTGTTATATTGCAAATATGAAAATGAAGCATCACAACAGTTTGTGATTTGTTAACTCAGAAGTAACAGCTAAGGAAACAAAATCCGATGTGCTCACCATTATGATCTCTGAACAATTTTTGTGTTTCTACAAGTGACAGAGATTTATCTTTCTCAAGATAAAATAATGCAACATCTTTAGCATTTGAGAAAAAAAGTACGTGAAAGCAAAAGATGCCATTACAAATGGGAGAAGATATATTGAGCTCTTGACTGCAGTCAGATCTTTATCCTGCACAGGCAGAAATACGTAACTTTGCACATTAAGTTCTGAACAAATTTATGGGTCACCCCAGTGAGACCCTTGAGCACGCATGTAACATTCAGCACATGGGTAAACAAATGGCCTTCTGATGCTTCACTTTAACACCCTCACTGCAGCGCACAGGGGCAGTGTTGGAAATCTGAAGCAGTCTACTTGGAAATATCATTTTTATATAGTTGGAACTTCAGAAAGGAATTTCCTTGGGGCAGAGAGGTCCTCTTGACACTTGTTTTATTAAACGCAGAGTACTCAAGTAAAAGAGTTATTCAACTGTTTCAACTATTACATTCTCCTTCCCACTGGAAGGCTAAACTTTACCTTACTAAGTTCTACCCTGAGATGAACAGGAGGTCACATTATCAGTGCAAGACAGCCTAGTAACATGGGCAGCTGTCCTTCCAGTACCTGTAAAAACATATTCCTTGCACTCATCCTCTCTTTTAAACATGGCAATAATTCCGGTGCCATGTGCAAGATCGTGTTTCACCTAGCAGAAGGGTTTAACTTTCACCTGATTTAAGCAGCAAACTATCCCTCAAAGATGCCCGAGGCTTTGCTGTAATTAACATAACTGCATTTAGATGCTATTCATGACCGATAATTCCAACACCTTATAAAAAAAAAAAAAAAAGGCTGCATGCTGTAAACATTATAAACATATTCAAATAAGCTTAACACAATCTGCCATGCTTATTTCTGCCTAGATCATGGACCAGCGAAATGGTTAATGCAAATGGATTTATAATTTGCTTTGGGGGGCCAGTTTCTTCTCCTTATTTATTAGCCCAGCTGATGGGGCAGATTTGATGAGGCACTTCTGGAATAATTGAGTCATCACACAAAGAAGGCTGCTAGCATTCAGAGTGGTTTTATCAGCAGCAAGCAGGCCTGATTACTGACAATTACACTCTGATCCGGTGATGGAGGAGAAAGAGCCAACGAGTGGGAAATGTCCGTGTTTCTATCCAGGAATAATTTCTACATTCATTTTACATGCTAAGTGTTTCCTATCTCTGCATAATAAACTGTAAACAGGAATAGATGGCACAATGTCCCTTAATATTTCCTGGTAATGAAGACACAAATGTACAGTGAGTGCTGATAAATATAGATGAAACATAAGCTATTCTCTGAGTCTGTATTGTTACCTTTAAAATAAATGCATTTTGGTGGTAAAAGCATAATCATAGCTAAT